TTACCCCGTTTTGCATTGCATCGTTTTGCCTTGCGTTGCGTTACCTTGCATTGCGCTGCACTGCGTTGCACAGCATTGTTTTGTACCACCTAGGTTGCAGTGAATAGTTAGATAACAAGAATCACATGCGCTAACGCTGGTTATCATTAATAAGACTTGAGTGATGTTGCCCGCAATGCGTTGTCTCTGCCAAGGAGGAAGAGAGAGCGGGATCAAGAGCGATAGGCGATAGGCACCGCCTGTTTGGCCGGAGAGTTGGTGAGTGGAGGATGTGTCTTGTCGTTGCTGTGGGCGCGGGGTCCGCGGAAGCTCTGCCACGACGGAGGCTGCGGGGGGTCGTGGGAGCAGACACGCGTGTACCCCGCCGTCCGAGCAAGACATGCAGAGGAGAATGAGGAATCGATCGAATCCCCCCCCGCCTCCTCCCATGGCGGAGGGGAGGGAGGATCTGGATGGGGGGAAGAAGCTAACTCAGAGGGGAGGGGGAGTCGGCCAAGCACGAGGAAGAGGAGGAGCGACAGGAGTGACAGATGCGGGTCGGAAAGTGAAGCACGAAAGGAACACGAACACTGCAACCGAGCTTCCACGAGATGCTCACGCATGCGGCCGACCGAAGGCAAGAAAGGCCACTCCGAGGACCACCCACAGAGGAAGAGGCATCGGAGCACGGGGGGGGGGGGGGGGCAAATTCGGAGGAGGAGTAGGAGTAGGAGGAGGAGGAGGAGGAGGAGGAGGAGGAGGAGGAGCAGGGCGAAACGCAGGATCATGAGGAGGAGGCGGCGGCGGAGGAGGTGGCCTCATCGCTCCCACACGTAAGTCTCTTTCGGTCTGTGGTTTCGCTTCCTGCCTGCACGACGCCCTTCGCACTCTCCCCCATCCGCCCAACTCTGATCAGGCGTGCTGCTCGGACCTGGCCGAAAAGTCGGACTGCAAGCCTCCTCGTGGCGGCCAGGGGTAACTTGATGCTGGCAGTATCTGTCGACGGCCGTCTTTCCCCAGAGGCGGCGGAGGGCATCAAGGCCAAGGAGGTAGAGGGGGCCTCCAGCAGACGCAAGTGTGCCGTGACGGCGGTCCATGACAGCCGACCCAGGGAGTGTAGGCCTAGTGCCCTGACTTTATAGTCCTCGCCGCATCGGGGGGTGCGGTCACGACTCCTACTGGGAAGGCTGTCATTGGGTGCATCCTGATCGGCACACCTCGCGGACTTGAGTTCCGCGAGCAAGGGAAGGCTTGTGTGAGGGGTGTCTGGCCTCCCTGGCAGTGCTCCCGAGTACTGCCACGCACAAAATCGCCCTGCGGCGGATGGCTAAGCCAACCGCCGGGAGTGGTCATTTTGTTTGACCTTTGCAGCTCCTGTTCCGCGTGCTGCTCGGAGTGATCCAGGCAGTTCGGCACCAGGTGGCAAGAGGCCCGCCGTCGTTGCCGGGCGGTGAGCAGGCGGGGCCTGGGGTCGTCCTCTTGGGGCGTCGTGGGGGTATCTTGGCAGTCCTGGGGGCCTCTTGATGTGTCTTGTGTGCCTCGGGGGGCCTCTTGGAACCCCTGGGGGGCCTCTTGGGGGCATCTTGGTCTTGGGAGCATCGTGGGAGCCCCCTGGGGTTATCATGTTCCAACCTACTTTAGCCTGAACCACCAGAAAGAAATTCGAGCAGCAAGAGCGTACCGAAACTGGAGGGTTTTCGCGCGTGTCGGTCTCGGGGGGGCGATACTCGTTCGACACTGCTTCGATACTCTTCTGGGTGCTCGAGATTCTCTTTGGAGTTTGGCCCTCGAGTGCGATGGGAGCTACATACCCATGGGGTCTCCTGGGTACCCCTCGGGGGGGGGGTCGAGGGGGGCGAGGACACGAGGGCGGAGGAGGGCCACGCGCGGCCGCCGCCGCGAGGCCAAGGGGCAGCGCAGGGCCGCCGCGGCGCTGCTGCGCCGGGCGGCGCTGCAGACCCAGAGCCCGGAGCTGCCCGCGCCCCGGCCCGCCGCGGGGGCCTCTCTGAGCATCGGAGGAGCCGGACCCCCTCGAGGAGGAGGAGGAGGAGGAGGAGGAGGAGGAGGAGGAGGAGGAGCGACGGGAGGAGCGACGGGAGGCTTTTCGCTATTTTCGGATTCTGGGGGTCCTCACCGGGCTTCGGGACCGGCAACAGAAACGACTCAGGACGAAGAACCAGTCCCGGGGAATGGGTCCGGACCTCTGGGGTCGCGTCATGAAAAATCATGACGGCGGGGGTCTGGGGAGGAGGAGGAGGAGGAGGAGGAGCATCGGAGGAGAATCCGAATGATTCCAGTCATGTCTTGTCTGACACTGTCTAATGCTAGGGGAACGAAGAACGACATAAGCACAATAACTCGGAGGTCCGAGCGGATTTCTCGGATCGGCGCTGGGGCCCCCTGGCGGCGCCTCCGGCGCCGCCCCTGGCGCGGCTCGGCGCAGATCCGAGAAACCCGCGCGGACCTCCGAGCTTTTATGTTCGGGCCACTCTTCGCTCCCCCAGCCTCGGAGGAGATGCCGAAGGATTCCAGTCACGTCTGGTCTGATATGGTCCACTGCACACCAATCTTTATCTTTAGGGGGCCACATGCGGACCCTACCCCTACCCCCCACGACTTCTGAGGGGGAGGGTGGGGTTCACTTCGCTCGAGAGCTCCCGAGTGGAGTGAAACCCACCCTCCCCCTCAGGGATCGTGGGGGGTAGGGGTAGGGCTCGCATGTGGCCCCCTACACCAATCTTTATCTTGCCCCCATCGTACTTCAGGGACACATCCCAGAAATAGTCTCGAGCATCCGGAGGCGCGAGGCGAACGGTAGGGGCAGACGTGGGCCGCAGGCTCAGGGCGGATGCAGTGAGGGAGTTGCTGCGGCGCTCCAGAAATCAGGAGCTGAAAAACACACAGACACAAGTAACCGTCGATTCCCCAGAAAATATGGGAAACTATGGGAAGTGGGGGGGAAGACAGAAACCCATAACATATAGGAACATATGGGGAATCTGGTTATTTTTGTCTATTAATTTGCGTGTCCCAGTTCCCCTTCAAGAAAAGGCGTTGCCTTCGAGAGTCGAAGGGGTTGGCATCTCTTTCTCCCGGCGAAGGGCCGGCCGAAGGCGGCGGGAGCAGAACAAGGGCGGCTCCGCCGGCGGAGGCCAGCGGAAGCCCGGTTGACGCTGGCGAGAGTAGGAACCGCCCCCCGATGGACTTCGATGCCCCTCCATCGCGACTGCTCGGTTTCGAGCGCTGGCCCCCAACGAGCGGGGGAGCGTAAGACCCGGGTTTGCCAGGACTCGGGTTCGCCATCGTTTTTTGACGACCGCGATTCGGATTTTGACGAGTAGGAGTTTCGTGGGATGTCTGCAGCGGGAGGCCTCGTCAAAATGCAGGCTCGGCCTCGTCATTTTTTTTACGACCTCGTCGGGGATTTCCGAGTCCCCTGTACCCGGGTCTTACGCCCCCCTGAAACGAGGGCGAGAGTTGTGCAGAGGGCACATGGGTGGCAGGGGGGGGCAGTGGCGGTCCTGGCGGGCGCCGCTGCGGCTCGGAGGGGATGTGGCGGCCTCGGGGGGGTTCCTTACCCCTGGTCCGGGGGTGAGGGGTACATCGAGTCCTAGACCCCCTACGTCATGGTCGGTGCATGACGTCGACCAGTTCATGACGTCGACCCCCTGAGGTTACAGAGGTTTCGACCGCTTCCCCGGGACCGGCTTTTCATCCCGAGTCGTTTTATGGCGGCCCTGAGGCCCGGTACGGGCCCCCAGAGGCCGAATGTTGTGACAAACCTCCCGTCGTGACTTTTGTCGTTGCCCGAGGGGGTCTGGGGTCCGCGGAGGGGAGGAGGAGGAGGAGGAGGAGGAGGAGGAGGAGGAGGAGAGGAGGAGGAGGAGGAGGGAGGAGGAGGGAGGAGGAGGACATGAGGAGGGAGGAGGAGAGGAGGAGGAGGAGGGGGAGGGGGAGGGGGAGGAGGAGGAGGGGGGGAGGGGGAGGGGGAGGGTGAGGGGAGGGGGCGGGGGATTGAGGGGATCGGGAGGAGGAGGAGGAGGACCTGTAGTCGGGGGGGGGGGCCCAGAGATCCGACGCGCCAGCAACACTTGGAGCGGGCGTGTTTGGGCCGTGGTCGGCCTCCGTGGCCCTCGCGTGGGCCTCGGGGGGGTCGACACAACGACTCCCAGGACGAAGCGCCGGCCCCGGGGGAGGTGCCCTGACTCCGGATCCGCCCTACTTTGGCTTTTTTTCAAACTCAAAATTGCGTCGGAAATCCACCTATAAGAGGCCGAACAAGTAGGGCGGAAATTGCTGCACCCAACATAAAATGGGGCGGACATCCACAGAAACAGCAGCAGAAAAGTAGGGCGGAAATTGGCATCAGCGGGTCTTGAAAAGTAAGGCGGAAATTCCAAGCCCTACTTACGAATTTCCCCAAAGTAGGGCGGATCCGGAGTCAGGGCCGGGGGAGGTGGTCCAGACCACTCCGGGTTCCTTGCTATACGCGCGGGGGGGTACCCCCCCACGGGGGTCAGCCTCGCCTCGTCGTCGCGCCGCGACGGGGGTCGGAGCGCCTTCGGCGCGCGGTGGCTGCCCGCGACGGGGGTCGATGTGGGGCTGTCGGCGGGGGTGACGCCCCCCCGACGCTTATCAAGAAACTCGGAGTACACGTAGGACCTTGGGTGCGGGCCCATGAGGTTCCACCGATCGCCGAGCGCTATGCGATAGTAGCGTCTGGCGCACCCCAAAAGCCACGCACCACAGGTGACTCCTTACCCAGGGTCACTCGTTGCGTGTGGCCAACTTTTCTGCGGGGGGGTACCCAGTAGTGGGGGGGACCTGTAGTCGGGGGGGTACCTGCAGTTCGGGGAGAGGGTGCCTGTAGTCCAGGGGCCCAGAAGTATTGAAGGATGCAGAGTAGACGGTTTTGTGGTTCAGGGCTTCGGAACCTGCCGGCAGACAGTATGACCCCCCCGACACGCCCGGTTAAGGAGGGAGGCCTGGCGTCTCCCCGAGGGTCTCGTCTCCTAAGGGCTATGCTGGCGACCACAGTGGAGCTCGACGCGTTCGAGAAGGTGAAGAAGGCGCGGCTGCTGGCCTTCGAATATCCAGTTGTGCATATCCGCATCCACCTCCAGAGTTCGGTACGACCGAATGTGGTACGTACGGAAAGAAACGGGGGCGAAGACCAACGGTAGTTCTTGTCCGTTTTGAACAGGATCCGCTGTCTCTGTCGCCGCGGGTGTTGCTCATTTGATGCAAGAGCTCGCCTGTCAAACGGCAGCCGCGGTCGGTTTTGGACGACGTCTGTTGTTCGGAATCGTACATACTTCTTCCATACCGATTGCGGGTGCGACGAGGAATCGGTTTCTCTGACGACCCTTAGAGGTTAGAGGTGGAGGCTAAGGAGAGGGCGGAGAGAGGAGGGGGATGGGAAGGACTACGAACACTGATACAGATAAACATATTGTCGGTTGTAATTTCTTTGAGGTTCTTGGGGTCATTCCATGGTATATGACCCTCCCCGTTTGGCGAGAAAGATATCTCCAAACTTCCAACTGAATGATTGAGTTCGGAATCCACTGAGGCTGGTATGATTCTTCTTCGCCTAGGCTTCGCGTGAGTATCCGAGTATCCGTTCGCCCCGCCATCCTTCCCTCTGGTCCCCACCTGTCATCCTGTTCATTCTGCCTCTCCTTCGCTTACAATACATCGGTTGCAATCTAGTTTGACATCTGTGTCGATGTTTTCCCCCCCCCCCGCCCCTCTCTCTGGCTCCACGCACCTCGAGTCAGGCAATCGACGATATGATCGTGATGCTGAAGAAGCAGACGGACTGTCTGTTCTGCTACATTGAATGCTTCTCTACAGCGTGGGTTGTACGCACATGTACAGAAGTGCATACTTCCGATGTCTTGTCTTGGACCCTTCCGGTCGCGCTGCCGCGCATTTCTGCCACCGCGATTGGGGAAGGTGCGCAGCGACGCCGTACTGCAACACAGCGGTAATGATGCACTGCCCTCGCTCTGCCTATTGGAGCACTGGTTGGGACCTCGAGGGCCCCCTTGCGTTCTCGTCCCCACGTGGGCTTCTCCTGGGGGGGCCCTCGAGGGCCCCTCTGCGGGGCATCTCGCTCGTGTGGGGGGGCCGTCGTGGAGGCTCGCGGGGTCGTCGGTGGCCTTCTCGTCGCCGTGGCGCCGTCTAGGGCGCAGGCGGACACGCCGAGGTGAGCACGCAAGCTTTCGGCACAGGCTGGGGCGATGCTCCTCGCGGGCAGCTCCCCGGGTCCGTTGCTGTCGGGGGGGGGCCCTTCCTGTGGCCGAGGCTCGCCGCGGCCGCAGGGTTGTTGCGCTCCCCTCCTCCTCCTCCTCCTCCTCCTCCTCCTCCTCCTCCCTCCCTCCCTCCCTCCCTCCCTCCCTCCCTCCCTCCCTCCCTCCCTCCCTCCCTACCTCCCTCCCTCCCTCCCTCCCTCCCTCCCCCCCGCCCTCCTCCCTCACCTCCCTCCTCCCTCCCTCCCTCCCCCCCTCCCTCCTCCCTCCCTCCCTCCCTCCCTCCCTCCTCCCCCCCCTCCCTCCCTCCCTGCCCTCCCTCCCTCCCTCCTCCCTCACTCCCTCCTCTCTCCCTCCTCCCTCCTCCCTTCCTCCCTCCTCCATCCTCCCTCCTCCCTCCTCCCTCCTCCCTCCTCCCTCCTCCCTCCTCTCCTCCCTCCTCCCTCCTCTCCTCCCTCCCTCCTCCTCCTCCCTCCTCCCTCCTCACCTCCTCCCTCCTCCCTCCTCCTCCCCCTCCTCCTCCTCCCTCCTCCCTCCTCCCGCCTCCTCCCTTCCTCCTCCTCCCTCCTCCCTCCTCCCTCCTCCATCCCTCCTCCCTCCTCCCTCCTCCTCCTCCTCCCTCCCTCCTCCTCCTCCTCCTCCTCCTCTCTCCTCCTCCTCCTCCTTCCTCCTCCTCCCACCTCCCTCCTCCTCCTCCCTCCTCCTCCCTCCTCCTCCTCCTCCTCCTCCTCCTCCTCCTCCTCCTCCTCTCCTCCGCCTCCGCCTCCGCCTCCGCCTCCTCCTCACTCCTCCTCTCCTCCTCCTCCCGCTCCGCCTCCGCCTCCTCCTCCTCCTCCTCCTCCTCCCCCCTCCGCCTCCTCCCCCTCCTCCTCCTCCCCATCCTCCTCTCTCCTCCTCCTATCCTCCTCCCCTCCTCCTCCTCCTCCTCCTCCTCCGCCCTCCGCCTCCGCCTCCTCCTCCTCCTCCTCCTCCTTCTCCTCGTCCTGCCCACAGGAGGCGCATCAAAGAGGACATCGGCCTGCCAGCAGGTGCGCCACGGACGTTTCCCGTCCCCCGATGGCCCCAGGGGCCCACGCAAGCCCAGGGAGGCTGTAGGACCTTAGAGATCGACGGACAAGGAGCCACACGATGGCCCATCGCAAGAGAGTTGTGTTATCGTGGCTGTCTACTGCTTTCGGCAATCCCCACGTCGGCACGGTGGCTGCAGTCGTCTTGGTGTGTTGGGCCGATTGTGCTGCCGCCGCGGGGTGGGCCCGCTCGTCTCGGGGCCGCCCCGGGAGGGCAGTTGCGCAGGCTGTCCCGGGACCGCCTTTTCGTTCGAGAGGGGGGGCTCGGGGGGGCGCTCCCTGGGTCGGGGGCGGCCAAGAGGGGGGTGACGACCAGCGGAGGTGGACATCATGGCTTGGGCCATGATGCTTCCTCCGATGTCATGGCGCCTCTCCTCATTTCATTACGTCCCTGGCTCCCCCCTTGGGCCGCGCACATGCCGCTGGCCATGATGATTTGCGCCCCCATTCTCTTGAACGCCCCCGCTCTTTCCCTCTGGAGTGGCAGCGCGAGGTCACGCAGCGAGAGCACTGTACATTTCATCGGCCTCTCGAGGAGTGCTGGAGCATCGAGAACAAGAGAACCCCTAGCCCCGATGCCACATTGAAGACGCAGCCAACTCAGGTCCCAAGTTTTGCCTCAGGGCCTTAGGGCGATCAGATCTGGGCGGTTTGGTCAGATGCACCTGCAGGAAAGACCCCCTGCCCCTAATGTTGCTGGCCTTCCTAACTCGGGCCCCCTCCCGAAGGGTCGGGGGTCCTTTCCATGCGAACAGTGAAGGGCCCCGCGGGGTTGGGGGGCAGGGGGGCTTCGATGGGGCCCTCGGAGTGGTGCTGGAGCCATCGTGGGCGGCCCTCTGGGCGCGGGGGCGATCTCCGCAGTCTGGGATTGCCTGGGGGCAGCCTCCGGGCCGGCGTGGGCCCGTCTGAGACTGGGGGCATCGGCGAGCGCTCGCGAGCCCGACCTGGCTTCCCTTCGGCGGCGAGCGAAGGGGGGGAGGCGAGCAGGAGCAGGCCTCCGCAGAGGGCGGCGGGGCTTCTCGGCAGCCCCGTGTGTGCCCTCCGAGGGGCTCTCCCTCCGCCGTCGGGGAGGGCTCCGGAGACTCCTCAGGGCTCCGCGGGGGGCTCCGGCGCCTTCTGCGAGGGCCCCGGCCCCTCCTCGCGCTGCCCCCCCCCCCAAGCTGGCCGCCGCTTCTCTGGCTCTGTTCCGGCAGCTGCCGCCCCATCCAGGGGAGGCCTCGGCGAGGGCAGTCGCCCGGTTGCTGTCCAACCGCCTCACGGCTATGATCCCCTCCCGCCGCCTGCACGTCGTGGCCTGTCGTGCGATACGCCCTCGAGGCTGGCAGTGGGCTCGTACCCAAGCCCTTCCATTTCGGAGCTCCCCCTTCCCCTCCCACGCCCAAGGAGGAGGAGGAGGAAGATGAGGAGGAGGAGGAGGAGGAGCAAACCAAGGATACGCAATCGATATGCAAACTCTGCTTCGCCAAAGAGCCGAAGGGGCCCAGCGCTCAGAGTCAGGCAACACAGGTGATGGAGGTTGGGGTAGGTTTGGCGAAAGCTAGCGGGCGCAGCACCGAAGTCGTCGAGGCATTCACGTATTGGTCCTTGTAGATTCTGAAGCGTACCACGCAGCTGAAGAGGTTGCAGCACTATGAACCTGCCGAAAATATGCGCATATGCCACGCGCATGTGTTCACCTGCTGTCGCCTCACGCAGCTGCCAATGTCGTCTAAACTATGTTTAGTGGCATGGTTACTGATCGTAGAGGGGACGCTCTGAATGGGGAGGGCGAGGCGGAAACCGTGGAGCACACTTAAAGTGACTTGAGAGGGCTGGGGCAGCCGGGAGTGAGAGCTTAGAGACGACGCCAGAGTTCGATTCAGGAGGACGAGGTTAAGAAGCACGATTGGTGCAAGGCTGAGTTCAAGGAGAACGAGATGACCACGCTGAAGACGGAGGAGGGCTTTGCATCTGCATGTGCACTTAGGCCAGAGTCTCCGACGGCCTCGTCGGGGAGGCGCCGGTGGCATCCACTGCCAGAACACCGTACGGCAGGTTCGCGTCGTGCCGACCAGCGGCGACCCCACCACGTGCGTTTAAGGTTGAACGCCGCCCGTGGCCCGGAGTCGGCCCGTCGTTGAACCATTCGGCGTTCACGGAACGGCCGATCGTTCAAGTTTGAGCGATCCCGGCGGTGTCAGGAACCAGTGCCGGAGTCGACACGACGCGAACCTGCCGTATTGGAGTCATGCTCGGAGTCATGCCTGGGGATCTCGAGGGCTTCCCGAGGAGCGATGGATATGTGGATGTCTGCCTGCGCCTGCGAGCGGGGAAGCGTCCACGTCCACCGCTCCTCGGGGGCCCAGGGCAGGACTCGAGAGCATCTGTGGAGGTGGAGAACCTTGGTGGAGGTGCGCCCAACTGCCTGAAGCACGTCCCTGACCCCCGTGGTTGACATGTGATCGTCTTCGTCTTCACTCTTTTGCCCAGCGGCGCGGGCCCTCGCCCCCCCCTCCCTCCCCCCCACGGAGTAGATCTTGGCTGTTTTTGGCGCCTGCTTCGAGCAGGTGGAGTCTCCCCCATAGGACGCACTGCTGTAAACAGTCGCATGAAGCAGAGGTCCGGAGACAGACCCCTCCCCCCCCTCCCCCCCCTTTCCGCCCAATGTCGAAGCGCTGACTAAGAAAACGCTCACCATCACCTTATCTCGGTGCCGATCTCAATGATGGGGGTGAGCCCGAGGGGCTGGTTGAACATATGCTGGTTCTCGACCGGGATCCCCCCTGCCGCTGGTGTCCCGTTCTGGTGCAGGGGGGCCGGGCTTGTCGTTGTGCCCGTCTTCTCCCCGCTCTGCCCTGCAGGGGCCTTCCTCCCGCGGCATTGGTCCCTGGAGCTTCTGTCGCCAGTCCTCGTTCGAGGTCTCCCCACCTGGTGACGGGGCCTCTGGCATGGCCACCCGGGAGGGATTGCCGCTCTCTCGCGCTGCGGCCGAGCGAGGGCAGGCTGCCGAGTGTTTGACCCGACCCGATGTCCGCATCCTCCCTCGCCATACTCCTGCTCGCCCCTCGCCCACCCCTCCGCAAACATCTGGGGCCCCCCTAGAAGTTGTTGAAAATTGCCGAACAGGGTCCAGGTCAAGTCTGCGTGCCCGCGGAACGGCGGCCAACGGCCAATCAGGGCACAGGCGGGGAAAGCAGCTGTATTTGCCAATGTGGACCACAAACGCTGGTTTGTTTGCACGTTCGATGTGCACCCTCTGTGATGGACTGCTTGTGTGCAAAGAATTGTGACCTCATCCGCACGTGACCACCTCCAAGGCTTGTGCAAACATCCCACTCGTCCACCCGCACCGCGCTAACACAACTCAACCGGGCGGCGACCACAACGATACGGATTACTGATAACGACGAAGATGATCATGGCGACGGTGTGGACGATATCGACGACGGTGGTGATGCTGATTAATGAGAATGACGGTGACAGTGGTGACGCTGGGAATTGTAATGACAGTGCTGGTGAGGATTACGAGGAAGTGCGTACAGAATTTTGACGAGGGCGACGACATCGACGCCAGCGATGATGACGGCGTACAATGATGATGCTGGCGATGATGGTACCGATTGTGTTGATGAGGATGCTTCTGAGTTCTGAATACATATATATATATATATATATATAAATTTATTTGAAATATTGGTCTTGCATGTGATTGAGAACCTTTTTGGTTGAAATGCTTAGCACACCCATGGATTTGCAAGGATTTCGGCGTGCATGCCTACCAGAGGCGAACGAACGAAGGACTCCTCACCCAAGGGATCCTCAGGGTTCCTGCATATTGGCATCCCTACCCCAGATTTCGTAACAAAAGGAAGGGGGTCTGGACCCTCCAAGACAAGCCATTTCAGACCCCCCCCGTGGGAGAACCCTCCAAAACGTCGTCCCCAGACCCCCCCAGGCCCTCCAAGATAGCCTGGAAGAGACCCCCCCCCCCGAAATGAGACCCCCCTCCCTTTATTACGAAATCTGGAGTATCCATGAGTGTGCAGCACACACGCCTTCACCGAGGAGCCCTCGGCGACGGCCGCGACGCACGGGCGGCCGCGACGGCGGCGCAACGGGCGCCGACTTGCCGCAGGCCCGAGAGACAGCCGCCTCGGCGCACGAGGCGGCCGCGGGGTGCTCCGCGGGCGGGCCGAAGGAAAGGGGGGGGATAGCCCTGACTCCAGATCCGCCCTACTTTGGCTTTTTCCCCAACTTAAAACTGCGTCGGAAATCCACCTATAAGGAGCCGAAAAAGTAGGGAAACAAATTTCTGCACCCAACATCAAATGGGGCGAACATCCAGAGAAGTAGGGCGGAAACAACAACAGAAAAGTAGGGCGGAAATTGGCATCAGCGGGGCTTGAAAAGTAAGGCGGAAATTCCAAGCCCTACTTACGAATTTCCCCAAAGTAGGGCGGATGGAGTCAGGGAGGTACGAAATCTGCTGCATGCAGCTGGTTTCGGCCCCGCCGACGGGCCCAGTCCTCGATGCATGGGCGCCAGGAGGCGCCGGGATGATCAGCTACGTGAGCTGCTTCTGAACCCACCCCCTGGGCTATCCCCCGCTGTCGCCCGGCCCGAAGCGTGCGACGGCCGGGCGAAAGCGCGGAGAGCTGGCATCCCGAGGCACCTCTCGCAAGGGCGGCGCAGATGTGACGCCTGGGGCGCGTCCGTGCTGCCATTCCTGCCGCGAGGTCCGACCGCATGTGCATTCGTGCAGGCACCTTCGGCACCTCCCTTCGGGTTGTGTGTTGCCCAGTTGTTGTTTTTTATCCTGGGCACAAATGGTTAGGAGAGCCCGGAGAGCGCAACAGAAACGCTTGCCAACGCAGCCGGGCGCAGTGGGCGCAGGCGCGGCTCTCAGAGCCAGGAGCTCGCGCCCGGGAGGCACGTCACGTGGCCCCCACGCACCTTTCCAAGAACGCGTGTGTTGCGAGGGCCGTGCGGCCGGCGCCGCCGACCCTGAAGGGGGACGACGACGACGACGACGACGACGACGACGACCACGACGACGACGACGACGACGGCGACGACGACGACGACGACGACGACGGCGACGACGACGACGACGACGACGACGACGACGACGACGACGGTCAGAGCCCTCAGGGATTCTGTTCGGGGCCTCGTCGGAGCGCTCTTGGAGGCCTCCGTGGGGGGCAGTCTTGGGGTCCCCGTCGCACACTTCCCCGGACATGCGACGTCTTGATTTTTTCAGAACGGCTTCCCTGGAAGTCCCGACCCTTTCCCCGGGGCCGGTTCTTCGCCCGAGTCAATTTTTGACGGTCCCGAGGACCGGCGAGGGCCCCCCGAGGCCGAGAGTAGGCAAAAACTTGCCGTCCTGATTTTTTTACGACGCGATCATGTCTGCGTCCGACCTCTTTTCCTGTTGCTGTGTGCCTTGGGCTGCTGGGCTGTGGGCGAGGCGGGCCTCGGGGAGGGCGGCGGGCGGGGCGCTGCGCGGGGCGCTGCGCGGGGGGCTCGGTGGGCGGGCCGCCGCGCGGGGCGCTGCGCGGGGGGCGCTCGGCGGGCGGGGCGCGCCCGGGTTCGCTGCGCGGGGGGCGCTCGGCGGGCGGGGCGCGCGGCGCGGGGCGCTCGGCGGGCGGACGGAGTGATCACGGCGACGGGCTCGGATAAGGAGCACTTTCCAGAGGGGAAAACACACACAGACGCAATGAACCGTCCATTCCCCAGGAAATAGGGGACAATATGGGAAGTGGGGCGGGGAGACAGAACCCCAGAAAAGATGGGAAAATCAGATGGGGGATCCTTGAATTTGTGTGTATATTTTGGTGTGTCCTGGGGCCCCTTCAAGTAAGGAGCACTTGCTTTGTCAAGAGAGGCTCCGGGCCCCTTTCAGAGGAACGGCATGCACGTTTTCCATCTCGCATTGTAGACCACGTGGTGTGCGGAAGGCCACATGGCAAGCAAGATTGATTGCCTCAAGACGCCGCCACAGACTGCTTAAAGCACAGGTGGCGTCCCACAACGTCCACCCCTTCTCCTTCACCCGCCTCGCTGAGAGTTATCGGGCACCTCCCCCTCCCTGCCTTCAGTCATTTTCAGGTGGAGGGAAAGAGGACCGTGCGCGGGAAACATACGGTGGGGGCGTTCGTTAAGGAACGTGTCCAGGAGGCTCCAGACCCTGGAGCGTTCCTTATCTGATGAGGGCGGCGGTGAGATCCATGGCCGATCCACGATTCGAGCGCCACCAGCTTCAGACCCTGGATTCCTTACCGAAGGGTTCCTTATCCAATGCCCCCCACCGTGTCCATATCTGTGGCCTCGTGGGCCGAACCCCTGGGCCGCGTTCCCATGGATACGGGCATTTGTCTTGCGGGTGCTCCGCGCGGAACCTAGCCACACATACGACCGCGCACCCGCGGGGTCTCGCCCCGCAGGCCCCGATCCCCAGGCGTGGCGCGCAGTCCGAGAGCACACAAAAAACAAAGTGAGCCCGAGCGCGCGGAGGAAGGCGCAGCGCGGGTGCGTGCCTGGACGGCGACGCAGGCCCTTCCTTCAGTCTCGCTTCCCAAAAAAGGAGGCGAGGGGCACCGTGCCGTGTGCTCGAGGCTGCCCCAGGCACTCAGGTGGAGGTGGGAGGAGCGGCGGCGATGTGGGAGGCCACAGGGCCGATAGGGGGTGGGCGGGCGGGTGGGAGGGGGGAGGACGAGGAGAGTGATCGAGGTGCGTCCGAGCCTGCCGTTTTGAGCCGCCCATGGAGGACTCATGGGGCCGAGGTTCTCCGGGGACGAGGAGGAGGGAGGGTGAGGGGAGGGAGGGTGAGGGGAAGGGGGCCCGCATCTTCAGTCTCTTCGTGCTGGTCGCCCCCTTCAGCACGGACGCTGAGGTCACACATCAGGTCAGCCCTGTGGCTTCACAGTCGCCCTGCAGAGTTGAGTCGTCGCGACGCTTTTCTCTCCCCTCCCGCCTCCTTCAAAAATGGCGCTATGGGATTTGAGCGCTCCTCTTCCTCCTCATTCCATCGGCTTCGTCCCTCCGCCCTCGTCCATCGTCATCTTCCTGAGTTGTGCCAGCAGTCTGCAGCATCTCGTCTGTGCTAGTATGTGTAGCCTGGTCCCTTTGACTGGCCAGCACATGTTGGCACAGCTGCTTGTGTGGCTGTTGGCTTGAAGAACAAGAACAGAGTGCGCTATGGGAAAATATGCGATCCACCTTCTTTATGCATCATCTCTCGCTGCCGCACCAGGACCGCAAGGCAGACCTCGAGGCCAAGATTGCCGAGCTGGAGTCCACCATCAAGGCCCTGAGGGGGAAGCGAGTAGTGGCGGTGGTCGCAGCCGGTCGGGAGTCGGCAGGGAGGGAAGACGGCAGGAAGAACGTGAGGACAGGGCCGTCCGCTGAGCGGAAGCGCAGCCGAGGTCGTGAAGCGATTGCCTCCCAGGACATGGGCGAGCACATCGGGGTCCTGCTCGATACTAGATTCGAGAGTCAGCGGACACATGACCGCGTTGGGTTTCACGAGGGGCTCTGCTTTGTTTCGAGGCGCTCGTCAGATCTGGGTCGGGGGACCCGTTCGTGGCCGACGGTCGCCGTGGTCAGAAGAATCAGTTGCCCTCCTGATGTTTTGCAGTCATTGTGGCACCTCGAATGCTGAGCTTCCCACTCCTCCTCCCTTCTCGCCTTCATGTTTCTGATGCTTTCTCGACGCAGCATCAACGACAAGTACACGACTGCCACCATGCTGTGAGACATAACGCCGCCAGCCAAGGCGGGGAACGCCACGCGCGATGCCATCCGCAGCGACGTGCCAATTGAAAAGGATGAGTGAGGAGAGGAAGGGCGAACATAAATCCTCGCCCTCCTCTATGCTTTTAATTTATCCTCCTCCTCCCCTCCTTCCGCCGAAGCCAGTGTGAAGTTCGATTCGATGGGTCCGATTCGGTGTGGATTCTGGCCAGCTCCATCCGATCCGTTGCCATGCCTCGAAGATCCGATTCGGCCGGATGCACGGCCAATCCGATTCGATCTCGATGCCGGGTCGATGCACCCCGATCCGACGCGCCTTCCGATGCCATGCGGTTCGGTCCTGCAGAGAGGCGAGCCGGATTCTGCCCGCCACAGCATTGCCGTCTGCCCCCCCCCTCCTCGAGAGGTGAAAAAAGGATCGAGGACACGCCGCGGTGATCCGCCACAAAAGGATATGCGCAGACACCCTCCACTGGATTGTTCCTGGGCCTCAGGGGAGGGTGGCGGTGTATCAAGCACCACTGAGAGCCAGCGACTATACACCGGCAACCTCCCTGAAGGTACATGCAAAGTTTGTCGGAGGGTGTCTGTGTATTCTAAATCCCATATTAATGGACCCCCCACCTCAAAAACCGGACCCCCTCAAAATGCGACCTAATATTCCGGACCCCCTCTTCAACAGGGCGTCTTAATACACCGGACCCCCTGAGCTCCAATCCAGAGAAAGCGCCCTCGTAAACCGGACCCCCCGAGTCACAAAAGAAGGCGCCTTAAAAAAAAAACCGGACCCGGGGGACGATCGATAAGGGAGGAGGAGGAGGAGGAGGAGAAGGAGGGGGTGGGGAAGGAGGAGGAGGAGGAGGAGGAGGAGGAGGAGGCGTGCGTTGGGAGCCGGCCCGCGTGTCGCCCCTCCGTGGCTCTGTCGGGGAAGGCCTCCCGGGAGTCTCCCGCAGCAGCGCAGCAGCGACACGCCGGCGGGGTCCTCACGGCGGCGTGCCGCCATCGAGGTCGCCTGTTTGCCCTTTCGGCCCCCCCCCGCCTTCCCCCCCCCCCCGCCTTCCCCTTGTTCAGAGCCCCGAATCATCAGGGGTAACTCGGGTCAGGGTTAACTCGGATTCATGTTTCGGGAATCCATACCCGAGTTACCCCGCACCCGAGTTACCCCTGATAACTCGGGCGTCCAGAGCCCCACATCATCAGGGGTAACTCGGGTCAGGGCTAACTCGGGTTCCTTTTCCGGGAATCCAAACCCGAGTTACCCCGGACCCGAGTTACCCTGGATGACTCGGGCGCCCAACTTGTATCGGAGGTGGACAGAACCCCCAACAGTGACGCGTCGATTAGTGAATTGTCCGTTTTCGGTTCTCGAGAGGGCGCCGTGGCCCGTCATTTTCCAGGCTTGCGCCCGCCAGGTTTGGGCCTCAGGTCGTTTTCACAAAACCGCGTTTTACTAAAGGGGGGGGTCTGTCCATGCCCGAGGTTAGTTTGCTTAGCAGGTGGATCTCTCCAGCTTTCCGCCGCCATCTGGCGGTGGCTCTGCCGCGTTCCCGCTCGCGGCGCGCACCGCCAGAGGCGGCGGAGAGCTCGAGAGATCCCCCTAATTAGTTACCAAAGCTCCCCCCGCTCCAGGGCTCGACCCAGTCAGCGTTTTGGCGACTTCGTGGACCCTCTGCGTCTCGACCTCTCGTCCTGCGGCGGGGGCGGAGCGCAGACGCAACGAGGAAGAACGCCAAGAGACGGTCTTTGTTTTATAGGGTCCGGCGACAACCCAGGTTACCGGGCTTGCCCCCCTTCCCCCCCCAGGACAGGGCTCGTTTCGATTCCTCCGATTCGATTCGATTCGATTTCGGTGGTTTCCGATTCCGATTCGATTCGATCTGGGATTCCGATTTGAGTTCCGAATTCTTATTGGAGGCATACTAGGTTGCCGATTTCTGCCGATCCGACTCTTCCCGACTCAGCTGCCGATTTCCGACGATCCGATTCATGTCGATCGCCGATCCGACTTGTCGATCCGATCCTGGGCTCTCCTGCCAGGATAACCTAACCTTGCCGGTTGTGCAGGTCCAGGGTGGCGGGGGCGCGGGCATACGCAGGGCTGCCCACAGCGCGAAGGTTAGGTTCTCGGCCGGCCCCCCTCCTCCCCCCCCCCCCCAGATAACCTGGGTTATCGCCGATTTGTTTTAAGAAAAACGTTCTTCAAGGAAACGAAAGCGAACAAAAACACCGTTCGGGTCGATCTTTGCCCCCGAGCCAGGCGCTCGAAGCCGACATCGCCAAGGCCACGGAGGACATCGAAAAGGTGCCCCGCCCGTTTCCCCCTGCCGGGGACGGGGTGCGGAGGCCACGCCTGGGAGGCTCCGCTCAGCAACGGCGATGGTATCTCCGCGGTCGGAACACAGGCCAAGTTAAGCTTACAGCAGAGACCGGGGCCAAGAAACACCCTGCTTGCCTCCAGGTTTGCCCTGGGTTTCTTTGGGTTCGATGGTTTTGCGATGGAAGGCGTGACGCTCCCACACCAACAATGAATGGGCGGCCTGGGGTCTCAAGGTTGGGTTTCTTGTGGAAGGTTTCTTTTGGTCGAGCCCCTACCGTACGATGTTCCAACCTACTTTAGCCTTGACCACCAGGAAGAATTTCGAGCACCAGCAAAAGCACCGAGAAACTTAATGGTTTTCACGTGTCGGGCCCTGGGAGGCGATACTCGTCCGACACTGTTTCGATACTTTTCTGGGTGCTCGGAATCATTTCTGGGATGTGGTCCTTAAGCACGATGGGAGCAACAGAAGCCTAAGTAGGTATAGTCCCGTTCGATCCCGCTTAGGTCCTGCTCGTTCCGACAAGTGTGGTCTAAAGCTGCTTATTTTCGGGCTCCATTAGGACTAATCCGGCTTGCCAGCTTTTTAGTATGGCTCATTCTAGAAGTTTCGCGTAACACCACCAGCCCATCCAGACAAAATGGCGAGGCGAGTTGCTTTGATGAGGGACGCGGAGGAGCATGCAGTGGAATAATGGATTGGGTAATAAGTCATACCCCAAGAGGTGGAGGATGGAGGAGTCATAGGAGGAGGAGGAGGAGGAGGAGGAGGAGGAGGAGGAAGCATAGGGGGCTGGGGAGGAGAGCGGACAAAGGATGAGGAGTTGGCGGATGTGGAAGAGAAGAAGTAGAAGAAGGAGGAGGAGGAGAAGGAGGAGGAGAAGGAGGAGGAGGAGGGCGAACAGAAAGGCCGAAGGCCTCTTGGATGCCCCTCGGAGTCTCTTCGGATGCCTCTCGAGAGCCTCTTGGAGTCCTCTTGGTGCGTCTCGGGGGCCTCGTGGTGGTCCTGGGGCCTCTTGAAGCTTCTTGGGTGGCTCGGAGGGGCCTCTTGGGGCCTCTCGAGGGTTTCTTGGAAGCCTCTCGGCACCTCTTGGGGGCCTCCTGGGGCCTCCTGGGCGCCTCTTGGGGCCCTCTGTAGGCCCTCTTGGGAATCTTGGGGGCCATCTTGGGGCCATCTGGAGGAGTTCGATCAGAGAGCACGGCGTGCTTAATTGCCGATGCCCCCAAAGGATGACAATACCTGGCCAACATCTTAGTACGAACAATACGTGGTTTGTGCCTTCTCGCCGAGGCAATCCGGGACCCCTCGCGCCCCTCCCCGTTCAGGTCCAGGGGGAGGGGGGAGGGGGAGGGGTAAACCCATCCCCGAAGGGGAAAAGGGGGGGGGAGGAGGAAACTTTCGAAGCCGCTCACGCCCTGGAGGGCTGGTGGGATTATCCTCCAGTCATTCTTGCGGAGGCCTCCCAGGAGTTGCTTCCGAAGCGTGCTGGGGGGGCCCGGTCCGACGGCAGTCCCGCGGGAGGAGGACCCTTCGGCGTGATCTCTTCGGACGTCCCACCACGGTGGGGTGACCACACTGGTCTGGGTCTCCAGAGGTCGTTCTCAGAGAATGCCTCGGGCGGCTGGGGCCTCCAGGGTCCCAAGGCCGTGCGGTGACGGCCCGTGTGGTGAGGTCGTTGGTGATCTCGATGCCACCGCGCGTCTCCCAGTTCCCTGGCGCCGTCCGGCCCTGTGTGGTTTTCCGCTGCAGGCCGAGGCCGTCGCTGGGGGGTCCCCCAGTCGAGGCCGCCTCCCCTGCCCCTGCTGATCCCCTGGGCACGCGCGCGCGCGCTGGCTGCGTTCCGCACGGCTGCGTTCCGCGTGGCGCCGCGCGCGCGGCACGCGGCTCACTCTGGTGCTCCCTCCCCCGTGTGGCCTAGCCTCGGTGGTGCGGGGCGGGCTGGCGGGCGGCGGCGTGTGCAGGCGAGGCGGGCCAGGACTGGGCTCGCGAGTGGGTGAGAGGCTGAGCAGGAGGAGAGAGAGAGAGAGAGAGAGAACCAGGAAGGAGGACCGGGAGGACGGGCCAGGGGGCAGGGCGGAGCAGGTCCGCGTTGATCTCTTGGGTCGGTGTTGAACGCCCCCCTTCCTTGACGCGCTTCGCGCGCCAAGGTCAGCGACTCCAGACCTGGCAGCAGCCCAAGATACCCGTGCGGGCCTCCGGGCGTTTCTGTTTCTGCCGCGCATGGGCGTGCTTTCAATCCGCACGCGTCCCCACGCTGTTCCTCCGAAAGGAGACAGGCCCGGTGTTGACCGCCGCCGCTGCTTGTCTTGCCAGGAGGGGCAGAGTGGGGGAACCAAAGGAGGAGGAGGAGGAGGAGGAGGAGGAGGAGGAGGAGGAGGACGACGAGGAGGAGGAGGAGGAAGAGGAGGAGGCAGGAGGAGGAGGAGGAGGCAGGAAGAGGATGAGGACGAGGAGGAGGACGGGGAGGAGGACGGAGAGGAGGAGGAGGGAGGAAGAGGAGGGAGGAGGAGGAGGAGGAGGATGAGGAAGGAGGAGGAGAAAAGCGATAGCGAGGAGGAGGAAGGAGGAGGACGGGGAGTAGGACGAGGAGGAGGAGGAAGGAGGAGGAGGAGGGAGGAGGAGGAGGAGGGAGGCAGGAGGAGGCGGCAGGAGGAGAACAAGCGATGGCGTGGAGAGAGGGCCGGGGGTGATCGGGGCCAGGATGGGGCCCGGCGGCGCGCTGCGCCTCGGAGCCCGGGCGTCGCTGCACGGGTGGCCACAAGCGTTGCCCCGCTCCGTCTCCTCCGGCCTCAGGTCGGGCCTGTCCCTCCACAGGAGGAAGGTAATTATGCAAAAGATAGTAAACAAAAATAGTCCGGGGAGGACTTCTCGACCATTTGTGGCCACCTGGGAGCATTTTCTGCTTATGTTTGATTGCTCGGCCAAGATCCCCCTGCAGGAGGACACACCCGACCGAAAGGCAGGGCCGGGGGGGGGAGCCCCCGGGCGGCGTGAGGGCCACACCGCGCGGCGGCAAGTCCGTGGGAGCCCGGGCCGGCCGCGCGGCTCTCTGGGACTCTCGGGGTCGTGCTCCGAGGGCGGCCTCGGGTACTCGAGAAGCGGTAGAGGAAGAGAGAGAGAGAGAGAGAGAGAGAAAAAAAAAAAACAAGAGAGAGAGAGAGAGACAATTACTCACTGCGTGGAGCTCCCCATATGTGCATCTCATGTTTTATGCCATGCCGTGGTGAGCGTCTGTTCATGAGCGGTCGACTACAATAGCGCGTCCACGTGGGCGACAGGGCCGACGAAGACGAGTGACCTTTAATGCGAGTGATTGCGTATGAGTCAGAGTGAGCTTTGAGTATGGTTGAATGCGAGCCTCTTCCTCTCCATCCCCCCTCCTCAGCTGCCAGGCCTTCCCCTTTTCAGCCCGTGGTAGCTTTGGAGCTTCCCACATGTGCAGATGTTGTAGGATAGTTGGCAGTGGGATATGTAAGACGAGCGTTTAGCCACACAAGGCCATAAGTGCATGTCATGTTGGAGGATAGTGCCACGAGAAACAAGCAAACCGCCGGAGACATCCCCAGAAAATGGCCGCGAACGAGCCCGTGCAACCACCCCTGGCGGCTCCCCTTAGGGGTGCTGAAACCAGCGCCCCGCCTGAGACATCCTCACAATCTGCTCTCCAAGCGAAGGATGTCGAGCCCGGAAACAGGCAAACCGCCGGAGACATCCCCACAAAATGGCCGCGAACGAGCCCGTGCAACCACCCCTGGCGGCTCCCCTTAGGGGTGCTGAAACCAGCGCCCCGCCTGAGACATCCTCACAATCTGCTCTCCAAGCGAAGGATGTTGGGCCCAGAAACAAGCAAACCGCCTGAGACATCCCCACAAAATGGCCGCGAACGAGCCCGTGCAACCACCCCTGGCGGCTCCCCTTAGGGGTGCTGAAACCAGCGCCCCGCCTGAGACATCCTCACAATCTGCTCTCCAAGCGAAGGATGTTGGGCCCAGAAACAAGCAAACCGCCTGAGACATCCCCACAAAATGGCCGCGAACGAGCCCGTGCAACCACCCCTGGCGGCTCCCCTTAGGGGTGCTGAAACCAGCGCCCCGCCTGAGACATCCTCACAATCTGCTCTCCAAGCGAAGGATGTTGGGCCCAGAAACAAGCAAACCGCCTGAGACATCCCCACAACATGGCCGCGAACGAGCCCGTGCAACCACCCCTGGCGGCTCCCCTTAGGGGTGCTGAAACCAGCGCCCCGCCTGAGACATCCTCACAATCTGCTCTCCAAGCGAAGGATGTTGGGCCCAGAAACAGGCAAACCGCCTGAGACATCCCCACAAAATGGCCGCGAACGAGCCCGTGCAACCACCCCTGGCGGCTCCCCTTAGGGGTGCTGAAACCAGCGCCCCGCCTGAGACATCCTCACAATCTGCTCCCAAGCGAAGGATGTTGGGCCAGAAACAAGCAAACCGCCTGAGACATCCCCACAAAATGGCCGCGAACGAGCCCGTGCAACCACCCCTGGCGGCTCCCCTTAGGGGTGCTGAAACCAGCGCCCCGCCTGAGACATCCTCACAATCTGCTCTCCAAGCGAAGGATGTTGGGCCTAGAAACAAGCAAACCGCCTGAGACATCCCCACAAAATGGCCGCGAACGAGCCCGTGCAACCACCCCTGGCGGCTCCCCTTAGGGGTGCTGAAACCAGCGCCCCGCCTGAGACATCCTCACAATCTGCTGTGTGTTGAGTAAGTCTCAGACTATGAGTAAGTCTGAGTATGAGTACGCCTGGGTATGAGTAAGTCTGAGTATGAGTAAGTCTGAGTATGGATATGTCTGAGTGTGAGTAAGTCTGAGTATGAGTACGTCTGGGTATGAGAATGTCTGAGTATGAGTAAGTCTGAGTATGAGTAAGTCTGAGTATGAGTAGGTCTGAGTATGAATATGCCTGAGTATGAGTATGTCTGAGTATGAGTAAGTCTGAGTATGAGTATGTCTGAGTAAGAGTAGGTCTGAGTATGAGTGGATCTGAGTATGAGAGTATCTGAGTATGAGTAAGTCTGTGTATGAGCAAGTCTGGGTATGAGCAAGTCTGAGTATGAGTAACTCCGACAGGAGGGAAGGAGGAAAGAGGAGGAGGGAGAGGGAGTAGGAGGCGTCCAAGTAATAACAAGAACCCCATCTTAGGACATGGGGGGAAAAGAGAGAGAGAAAGAGAGAGAGAGAGAGAGAGAGAGACAGAGAGAGAGAGAGAGGGAGAGAGAAATATATAGAAAGGGGAAGCAGGCGTCCGGGGCGGCTTGGACGGTCGCCCCAAGATGGCCGTCTTTTCCTCTGGGGGATGGCGGTCTTTCTCAATCCCCTGAGAGATCGTCGTCCTCTGTTCTGCCATCCCCTTGGCAGGGTGAGGTCCCCCCAAAAACCGTGCGGCGACGGACCGCGCGGCGAGGCCCGCGGGCAAAGTCGGGGTCATCGCGCGGCCCGTCGCCGCGCGCCGCGTCGGGGGCCCCGGGAGAGTGAGGCGGGCGGCGACGTGGAGGAAGGGGTGGAATTGCGCTTGCGTCGGGCCTGTCCCTTTACAGGAGGAATGTTCGAACATAGTCAAAAGGTAGTCAGGGGACGATTTCCCTGTGATTTTTGAATATGTTATCGTTTTTTTTTGTGAGCGTTCCAATTTTTCGCCCAAAATTCGCCTGTAGGAGAACATGCCCCACCTAAAACTACGCACTCCATTCGGAATCCGGGAGGAAATGGTCCCTCTCGTGCTTGCTTCTTCCTCGTTCCCTCCCTCCGCCTCCTCCCACGGGGGGGGCTTCTGGAAGGCAGAGGGGGGGGGGGGGCGAGAGGGGCTTCCTGGAAGGCCTGGCGGTCAGCAGCGTTTGCTCAGCGTGTCGCCCCGCCGGTGCCGGCCCACCACGCTTCTTGCGCGGCGCGGCATCCGCGCCCCCATGCGCAAGCGTCGACGCCCCGAGCCGTGCCCAGCGCCCCGCCCCGCGGCTCGGCGTCCCGAGCTCTGTCCAGCGCCCCCGCGCCGCGGAACGGAGCGCCGCGCCATCCGCGTGCAGGGCGCAGCGCGTCGCCGCGGCCGCCGCCGCCACACTCGAAGCAAAAGTCATTTGGCCACACACCTCTCGCGGAAGGCAGGAGGAAGAGGTGCCCCGGAGCCTGTTTTTCCTTTTCCCTCCTCCCCTCCGCCTCCTCCCGGGAGGTTGCTCCAGGCTTTGGTGCCGGGGTCGTTCGACGCTCTTTACCGAGCGCGCCTCGGTCAGTTCTTGCGCGCGGCGGCTGCCAGGTGCAGCGGCATGCGGGCGGCGAGCCCACGACGCAATGGGTATATCGGGTAGGAAATTGGAGGGCCAGCAGGTGGTAGTGTGCTAATATTCTGCGATGGCCCAGGGGCCCCACTGGTGGCGGCGCTTACGCCGCGTGCACCCTACATATGTTCGAAAGCAAGGCTTCTGACCTCACGCTTCTGCTGTGAACAATCCACCCCCTTACACCTCCGACGCAACGCGACCACCTGCACTTCAGACATGTTGCGTTGTCACACGGTGGGCATCCAGAACTGTCGCGTCCTATCGATGTTCGCCGCATTAGGATTTTGTCCGCACGTCCAGCAAGTGTGGCATAGGCGCGGGATACCCTGATCGCAGCGGAGAGCTGGCCGTCGTGGTTGCTTCGCGGCGCCTTGAGGCCCAGGCCCTTCCCTTCCGAAGTGGAGCGGGAGGTCGGGGGAGCTGTCCATCTGTCGTGGGCTGTCGTGGGCTGTCGGCGCGCACAGGGGTGGCCTTCAAGAAGGCGGGAGGCTTCGAATAATTCAGGGTTCCTCTTCGGGGGGCCCTGCCAACGTCTAAAAAAAGGCTTATCAGTAGTTGGCAGCGCCTCCAGGAAGTCCCCTTGCATTCTTGGCTGATGGGCCCGTTTTTCCACCACCACTACCATTTATAGGACCGGGGAAAAGGGAGGATAAGGAGGTCCTCCTCCTCCTCCTCCTCCTCCTCCTCCTCCTCCTCCTCCTCC